CAAGCGGTAAACTAAACACCTCAAAGACCAAACTGCTCCAAACCGCGAAACACTTGGGGAGACCCTTCCCATAACCCTAAACCCTAAACCCTAAACCCTAAACCCTAAACCCTTCCCATAGTATCATCCCCGAGGCTCTATCCAGCACTTCCTGCTGCCTGAGCTCGGGGTTCTGCTCTCCTCGACGGCTATGGTCCGTGGATTTCCAAAGGATTTTGTGGAGGCTTTTAGGGGGTTCATGCACCTGCTTAGAGCAAAACCTACCTATAGTCTCCATTGTAGTTCCTTTTTTGGTCTAACCGAAGGATTATATAGGGTATCCCCCAAAATGAACTACAATGGAGACTATAGGTAACCCATAATAGTTTTAGACTAACTATTGCGTCTCCAGACCTCAGGCATGCCATCCCCTAGCTTCAAAATGTTTCCGTTTTTAGACGGCTGTCCACATAAACCGGGCGAAGTGGGAAGTGCTCTGCGGGAGCACAATCAGGAAAGCATCTTAAATACTTACTATAGATGCCTAAAATTACGTTCCTGAACAAGAACACAGCCTAGAAACCGAGTGCCATTTCTGGGCTCCTCTACAAAGCATGCGCCACTGTACCGCTGGAGTGTAGTCACCCGTTCTTCAACGCCTACGCTCAACGATTCGGAGACTAGGGTTTAGGGTTTAAACCCTAAATCCTAAACCCTAAACCCTAAACCCTAAACCCTAAATCCTATAACCTTAAGCCGTAATTAACAGGGTTAAGAGCATAAGGTTCAGGGCCAGGGCTTTCAGGTTACCAAGACTGCTCAACCGCACGGCCGTGGGTTTCAGGGGAGACATGTCAGTTCCTCCAAGGCACGATCCTTATCAGAAAGACCTGCTGCACAAGTCTTGGAAGCCCAAAAAAAAGGGAGGGGAATGCTGTGCAAAGTTTCATATAATGATTAGAATAGGGTTTTGGTGCCCAGTATACTATAATAATAGCAAGGACCCGCCCCCCCCAACGCAGCGACGGAGTCCATGGTGGCTGCGAGGTTGCAGACAGCGTGCGTAGGGAACCCAGCGACCGCCGAGCAGACTGGCCATAAAAAAGCGCTTCGCGGGCCTGGCAGGACTAACTATCTATCTATCTATCTATCTATCTATCTATATATATATATTATATGTGTGTATATATATATATTATATACATATAGATATATACATACATATATATATATACATATATATATATATATATATGTATATATATATACACATACAAACATACACACACATNNATATATATATATATTCATAACATGTACAGTATACAATACATAATATATAATTGAATATATAGTCTTATGATATGTATAAGATAAGGGAACAATGTATAATATTTAATCTCAGGAGATTTGTGGGCTTTGGAGCTGCAGAAGTGTTCCATGAAGGCATCATGCTCCGCACAGGATGTCGTCGTGCAGGATGGAGGGTTGGGGGCTGTGGGCTACGAGCTTTACAGTGGTGTTAAAGTTTAGCTCATGACGGGTCCTACTTGTACAAGCAGGGCCGCTGCGGTTGGGCTACGACACATAATCACGTCCAGGGTGATGAGGTTCGCGAAAGGCAGGGATGACTTGCACCCATAAACCCTAAACCCTAAAC